CAAAAACAGGCTCATTGGCAATCTCCCTACTCATCTCTGGCTCCAGATTATCACGCGTAGTATTACTATATATACACGACCAATCAAAAACGTGGAACTGCTTCGTGGGCCCTCCGCTAAGGTGGCGCGCCGAAACCAAAGAAAAATTGCCTTCAACAAAAACAGGCTCATTGGCAATCTCCCTACTCATCTCTGGCTCCAGATTATCACGCGTAGTATTACTATATATACACGACCAATCAAAAACGTGGAACTGCTTCGTGGGCCCTCCGCTAAGGTGGCGCGCCGAAACCAAAGAAAAATTGCCTTCAACAAAAACAGGCTCATTGGCAATCTCCCTACTCATCTCTGGCTCCAGATTATCACGCGTAGTATTACTATATATACACGACCAATCAAAAACGTGGAACTGCTTCGTGGGCCCTCCGCTAAGGTGGCGCGCCGAAACCAAAGAAAAATTGCCTTCAACAAAAACAGGCTCATTGGCAATCTCCCTACTCATCTCTGGCTCCAGATTATCACGCGTAGTATTACTATATATACACGACCAATCAAAAACGTGGAACTGCTTCGTGGGCCCTCCGCTAAGGTGGCGCGCCGAAACCAAAGAAAAATTGCCTTCAACAAAAACAGGCTCATTGGCAATCTCCCTACTCATCTCTGGCTCTACTGGCCCAGGAGGCGCGCGCAACGCGGGACAGATGACGTCACGCGGCAGCAACGCGCTCTACTCCGCTGGTACTCAACCACGACGACTGGAAGCGGCGTACATAGCGCCACCCGACTGAGTACCACTACAGACCCCTATGGCATAGCGCCCATCGTCAGTTTGCGCATAATTATATTTCCGCGAGTTGGGAATCCAGGGACGCCTGGTGCACCCTCGCGCGAGAACGAATGTTACTCTTCGTAGGACCGAGATGTATAAATTGTCCACAAGAGATGATGGAAATTATTAATTGTCGTGATGACATATTCGAAACTCGCGCGTGGAAAAGATTCGCGCGTTGAAGGATTCGTCCGCAGGCCGAATCGCCGCCCATTAGCCTAAAGGGAGGGGGTGCTATCCTACTCGCGAAGACAAAGCGCGGGAAGATCGAGAGATTCCTGCTTGGACACGCGTAGACGTTAGACGTTCGGTCTTATTTGATTTGATTTGTGAGTACGCGAGTGCACAAAGTGCCATTGGGCTGTCGATCTAGTTTTCTGGAATTACGCCACCAGGGAACAACACGGTAAGCGAGGATATCTGACTTTTGTGAGCGACGTAACTTCGTGCAAATCTTGATACCGAATTTTGTTTGTTTTCGTAAGTGTTGACCGCGCGTGTAACGGACACGCGGAGGGACGATCCCTCACCCTCGAATTAGACCAACGCACGAAGGTCCGTCGACCGGCAGGGTTCACTGTTAGAATTGCCGTTTGATCTTATTATTGAATTGGAACTTATTGTACGTTATGCGAATTGTTTCTTGTCGTCCGCCCGTCAGGCATTTATACCCTTTTGATTTTGTAACTCGAAGAACGCGTGCAGGTCCTTGACGGTCGGTTATCGTATTTTGGGTAAACGCGGATTAGCCGTGTTACGCTTTTTGAATTGAATTCGTACGGTATGCGAAGTATCCGTTAATATCCTGAGTGTACTTTTGTTTTGTCTTCTTTTGATTTCTTTAGAGTACTATTTTTGTTGTACCTCACCGATTCCGTATTGTACAAAATCGTCGCGCTTCGCGCCACCGATGTTCTTTAATAAACCGAACCATTTATTTGAGATCGAAGTGTCCGAATGATTTTGTGTGTCGCGTGATTATCTGACCCATCCGAACTATTGTTTCGAACCCCTACGCCTCCGCGTAGCGAAGTTAGCCAA